CCTTGTTTAACTCCAATGCATTCCATACCCATATGCTACATTAAGTAACCCATGTTGTTTATCATTTTGCCTGTCGCTTAATATTAGCAATTTTCAAACAGGGCTGACTATACAGGTGAATGTAATCGAATCCCACCACAACTAGGCTATCTCCCACGGCTCTCTACAGGATGTAATGCACGTTTGCGATATTAGGAAGCGCTAATATACTTATGTGTAGCTATCAACCAAATCGAGTTAAATCTAGATGGCCAAAGCTCATTTAAACTGTTGCTGGACAAGCTTACCCCAAACAAAACACATCACGTTGCTTTCGGTCCATTTTTAATTCACATTATGTCAACTATTGTTCCCATTGTCTGTGTTGTACAATAGTGAACGTCTATACCGTTCATGATCAGCACCATGTGATTACCCCGTGCATGTGATTCTGTTTTTAGCATATGTTTGCTGAATACTAACGATATACATTATTGGAAATGTGAACATACTATTGACAATAATATGGACATGATCTATTATCTAACAGTAATGCTTGACAATGATGAAAAACATGATTACACAGAATTAAGCTTCAGCGATAATTCCTCTTCTACAGCGGAAGTACATAAACACGTTTCATACAATGTGAATCAAGAAATGGAATTGACTTACCAACCGGCAAACACGAACTCAGGAGTAATAGAATGAAAAAGGAGTACAACATTTCCAATGTTGACTGTCTTTGAATTAAGGTGAAAAGTGAGAGAGCAAGCTTAGCGGACTGACGTAAAACGATTTCGGCAGAATGTATAAATAGCATAAAGAAAACCTACGCTCTAAAGAGGATTAAATTTCATTTCGCGTAAATGAAGACTAAAACATTGCATCTCATGTAAAAATATGTTGCTTATAATTTTGTCTCATTCCTTATATTAGCAATTTTGTCGTGTTCGCCCAAACTCATTTTATAATTTGCTATATATATCTATATACATAAAGCCGGTCGATAGGTGTTTTATAATACACTACACCGAGATATCGCTACAACCACAGATTCTTGACACTTCAGAGGGTAATTTCCTCAGCATTTCGATAAGATGCTGCCTGTTTTTGTGTATATGATTTGCTTGTACCTTTGAGGTAAAAACAAATTCTGGTAAAATTCTAGGGCCTGCTTTGTGGTTGATGTCGTCTGCTGCCGAGTTGAACACGGATATGTTGTTTACATTGCGCATGCTCGAAACTGTAAATAAATAAATAAAATAAACATGCACATGTTACTACATTACCACGCTGTTTCCTTAAATAAAGTAACGTGTTCCAAAATCAGTATTTTTTATAAAACTTTCACCCCAAGCTTTACTCTCTGTGGTTGGGATTATTAGCATCGATACATTAAAAGATAAAAGTATGTTTATCCTATTCACGTCTCTCTAACCTTCGACGTCATTACGCATGCGTACCCAGACGATTGCTTCCATTGCTAAAACACAACGGTCTATTTATTTTAACAGTTCAGGCCAATGGCAATGTTCTATGTTATGGGGTTGTTCCTAATTTTTAATTCTGATTTGTGTTTCGGTGAGTACTAAATCGTCTCAATTTACCTTGTATAAGATAATTTACACAGTTCTTGTTTTGTATGTTATGTATGTTATTCCATCACTTATCGCACAGTACACGTCTTCCATTGTTTGTATAGAACGTAACTATTGCAATTATCTCATATTCTGCTTAGTGTCATGTGAAAACATGACCTGTAGTGTGTTGTTGACATTTAAATATTATTTTACTGGGTTTGTATAGTATCCATGTTATGGTTATTTTAAAATCAAATTGTTATTGAACATAATAATTCAAAAACTGATTCAGAAACAATGAACTTTATGTACATATTGACATAGGCGGTGCAATATTCACTCAAATTGCGAGTAACATTTGACCTGGGAGAAGGGAGCTCATTTACATAAACATTAACATATCATTTTGCTGAATACCATTGTGATCAGATTTCGAATTAAAATACTGAACACTGATGTTCTCCACAACACATGAGATGAATAAAATGACTTAATGCACAGAATGTAGGAGATTCTATTCAGTATTATTATTTTAGTAATCCAGAAAATCCGGTGAAATCCGCTGTACAGTTTTAAACAATGTGACGTAGAACCTGACCTAGCTAATGTCCTTGTAGTATATCAGTTTGGATAATAATAAGTAATATTCGACGAGCAGTAGTGTGGGTAACATATAGTTATTAATAATTAAAATTTGATTGCATTTTATATGAACTACCGACTAATATCTCATTGTTGTGTGTGTATAGTGTCGCTTTCTAAAATTCGAAAATGGTAATTTCAGCTAAATCTAATTATAGCTAAAATTCATTCCGACTGGTAAAATAGTAACAATAGACTAATATACTGGTAGGTAGGAGAACTGTGACGCCGAAAAACTGCGCGTACAGTAGCTTAGTGTTATTTATATATTTTTGAATCATATGCACTATGCATTCAGTAGTGATGCAAATAATACCAATAAATATCGTGATACTAGCGGCGAGGGCGCTTGAGCTTATCATATATATGCATGAAGTTGGGGGGGGGGGGTTATATCCACTGTGGAAATAATGTTTCCTTTCAATTTAAAGTAGTAAAAATTTGTCAACTGAATGTTGGTTTCGAGACAACATAGACATCCTTCTCACTTTGATGTAAACTCGAGTGCAGAAATGTTAATTCCAGATCAGAATGTGTACGTATTCCATGACAACGGTTAAAAGGTACTTCCCTTAGATGAAGAAATACTATTTATCACTAGTAGCGTTGTTGCGCCATTATGGTCTGCAGATCAAGAGTTTAAATCTTCTCCCTCTGGTTAAACACTAACAGAAGAGTTTCAGTAGTGGTATTCAATGGCCAAATGAACCACTCTCGCACATTTCCAAAACCAACACTTGTTTGTACGTTAGAACCTAGTTTATTTCTCCTTGCAATTACATGCAATATTACATTCTATTTAATAATGTTCTTCTCAGGGTCAAGCTTATATAGAAACAATCAGGATAATCTTATAAATGACCTACTAAACAACTATTTGATATTCATACGACCTGCATTGAATATGACCACTGCAACCGTTATAACTCATCGAATCACTCCGATACAAATTATTAATGTTGTAAGTAAACTTGCCTACACAATATAGTGTTATGAACACAATATAGTGAATCAATCAGTATTTAATTGTTGTTCTGAAAAATCGGGCATTGTTGTTTCATAGGTGTATTGCACGGAAATCGAAATAGAGTGGATTTAGGTTGGAATAATATTTCTCAATCAGTTGGGAAATTTAATATAATGGAAAACGCAGTATTTTTTATGTATATCAGCCTTCACGGCCCAAAGTTGCGAGAATATTTAGAGAATATTTTATAATTATTATTTTCAAACTCAAAACTCAAAATGTTTTGCATATTTATTGTTTTATTCATTTGTTATTTATATGATTTATTGAGAAATATTTAAATTCCACCACAAATTCAGGTGTATATGAAGTTGTAGTTCATTCGTCGACGCGCATCGACGTTAAAGCTATTGACATCAAGTCACATCGCACGGAGAGTTTTTCGCAGATGCGTTTTAATGAATACAAATGAATATTATGTACTCGCATTGCAATTTGATTGTGCATCTATATGTTGATTTCTCGTACCCGAATGTACACGTTCATAAAAAAATATAATCTCATACTTGATTTTTTCTCTCCAATTTTTAGGATGAACCGAATCAGATTCTAACAGTAAAGGTATGGGTGGGGCTGGTAAGTTATATTTTTACTCGTCAACAGTTTTAGCTTGAAGTACTATTCTCAACCCCTGTTCAACTATAAACCTTATTTCCACAACAATAATGTGTATTGGAGAAGGTAAAATATCAAATTTTAATAAAATAAAAGTACATAAACAGGTGCATTTAGCCTTTTATTTATTCTAAATTATTTGATCGGGAAGCTTGACCGTTAAAGTGATTATTTATACTTTGGTAGTTATAAGTATAATTATGTGGTTATTACAATGGAAGTATTCTGCAATAGCAAATAATTAGTAGGTTATCCTTGCAGCAGATAAGTATTCTTGGGGCATATATTATAAAAACTAAATGGCCGAAATAAATAGAATTTCTTTAGGTGTTATCCTATGTCTAATATACAACCACTTTATGTAGATGTTTGCTATTCTGCTCTATCCGAGCATCTACGTCGGGCGCCGTCTACAATTAACCACCACAATTTATGTATTATAATACGAATGTGCATGTCTCAAAAAAAACCAAAGCATATAGTTTTATCAACTCAAAAATATGCTCAATTTCAAACGAGGTGAACCCGAAACAATTGTTAATCCACCATGAACCAATGTTTTGAGTTATTACGAGTGTCCTGAGTGCATACTTTGCAGTATCCTCGTAATAACCTTATTATTATATATCATTGGAATGGCCAAATTCAAAACGTTTAGAATAGATTTAGCGAACTTCTTTGTGTGCGGTCCAGTCAAACTCTGGTGGCAGCCATGTTTGTTTTTATTATTAGAGTACGCTTACGCGCATAATCATTCCATATTTGGAATTCGCATTTCCTAATATGTTAGGATGAAAATACCCCGTAAAATACAGCAAAATTACAACACGCTATAATTTAGGGCGTTACGGTGACGAATGTATAATAATACCAAATATTATTATGTAAATATTGTTAAAATGAAAAAAAGAAGTTTGTATACATAGCGTAGCTCACTCTATTGCCAATCGCCGAATGACAAATAAGTATTTCTTTTCAAAAGTCAAATACTTGTAACGGAAGATTCGTAGCTTGTCCCACGGGTTTCTTACAAGGTTAATCACCCACTCTCGCATTCCCTTCAATGTGTAGAGCCTTTAAAAAGCCAAAAGTTTTAAGCATATTTTATTATGCACAGAAGCTATTGACAATTAAACAAATTATTGAAAAAAATGTGCGGTTGATATTTTTTACATTTATGGTTGATGCAGTATGTGATTGACAAACAATCAATATATGGTGCGGTTTGTACGTACTCAAAACATCGGCCCACACCCAACAAATGCAAAAAAACACTTTCCAATTTGTTCATGAACCTGTGTCTTTGTGGTCTTTTTGTGTTTAGTCACGTGTCTTCCACATTAAACGTCTCCCTCACTTGGCAAATTCGGCGTTGAGATTACATTTACCATATGACGCAGTTCAATTTGTGAAATGAATTTTAGTTAGGATAATTCACGAATCATTCACAAATCAATTAATCACTAGTCAATTAATTTCAGACGAATTGTGGATATTTATTTATTGTGGATATATGAGGCATTGTGTAAAATAATTTTGCAATAGTCACGCTACTTTCTAATTACAATAAATTTTAATTAAATGCGAGAGGTTCGAATAGTGCAAGATTCCTGGAGGTGTACCTAATTTCATTTTGTTCTTCTAAGAAATACACACTCACATTACACGCTCTTTCAATTTCAATTCAACGCTTCTCAGCAATACAGTTCACTCTAAGACATCATTGTTTCACTATACCACGTGATTCTCACATCGCGTTTCCTACGCCCACATCGGCTTACATATGCAACATGCTATTTTCTAAAATGCTACCCCCAATTACTATTGGACAAATGTTCGTAATAATGTACGATGCACTGGTGTATTTATGGAATAATAAACAAATACGGCAATGTGGATACGACGAATAAAATGATAAATATAAATGTCCTTTCTTGACAGAGATGGGTAGATGAATGTCTGCGCTGGAATGCATCACACTATGGAGGCCTTAACAGTATAAGCATACCAAGTATTGATATATGGCAACCTGATATAACATTGTTTGGAAGGTAGCTGGTTAAACAAATAATGTGGCGCTAGAATGGACAGATACATATTATTATGATTAAGTGACTCTAATTCATATCGTTGTATCATCCAAACAAATGCACTTAATTGATGACCCAATAATTTTATATTTTTGTAGTATTGACAAGGAATTTGATAGACGCCTATACACAGATGTCCAAGTCAGCTCAGACGGAAGTGTGTACGCACCTCAACCAATGGTTTACAAAGCATCATGCCCGATAGACGCCACCTATTTTCCGTTTGATCAGCAGGAGTGCGTCCTGGAATTTGGATCATGGAGCTACGATGGGTCGGTAATAGACCTTGAAATTAATCCCGCATCCGGGTCCTTGAGTAATTACATACCCAATGGTGAATGGAATCTTATGGGAGTGTCGGTCATAAAGCACGCGGTGTACTACACTTGCTGCCCACAACCCTATCCTCATATTACGTACACTTTTGTCATGCAACGTCGGCCTTTGTTTTATATATTCACCATACTCATGCCAGTTACTCTCATGTTTTTTTTCATTCTCGTCGGATTCTACCTGCCTACGCAATGCCGAGAGAGAATGACTATATTTGTCACTGGTATGCTGGCAGCAATAATGTTTCTGTCCCTAGCAACTAAATATCTACCTTCTACGTCTGATTCCATGTCTTATATGCGTAAGTTGATGTACTTGAGATAATTAATGCATGGAAGGGTGGGGTGACGTATTGAAATTGATGAATTCGAAATATTGGAATATGATAATTTTAATGTCTGCTTTGAAGTTGCTGTACATTAAACCACTATTTATTGTCTAGATTGTGAAATAAGTATATTCGATTGTTTATTCGACTTGTAATTACATTCGTAAACTTGTGGCCGTATGTACTTTGGCCGATGACGTCCAAACTTTAGAAATGCCTTATACATCCCAGGAAACATATGCACATACATTTGCCTTGTTATTCGATTGAAGCTAGCATAAAGATGACCATTCAACCATGTATATATTTATAAATGTTATATCTGACGTTATTGAAATTTAGTTACCTGTGTACTGTGTTCGTTTCATGGTCCAATTTAGAGCAACATAAATGCTGCTAATCTAGTGTCGGAAATCATCAAAATAAAGAGTTACTACAATTTTAGAACCGTATCTCGGCCATGTAGGGATATACTTTGTTTGTGTATATATATTGAACATTATCCGAGCTTGGTGTACGGCATCTCTCAGATCGCATTTAAATGACCGAATGGCGACCTTTTAGTTTTAAAAAATGTTGTTCTATTACTTCAGTTCAGTTAAGTTCAAAGCAAACTTTATACATAGCTAATTTATTTTTAAAATTATCAATCAAAATGACTTACTGATGCTATTTGAGCTTGCTATTGCATGACAGTTATGTTTCGTTTTATGTTTCTCTTTTTTTCAATAACTAACATCATTTGTAAACTTTGAACCGGACTACGTAATAATTGTGTTCGTGAGTGATTGTAATTTTGTTTATTATTGTTTGGAACTATAGACTACAAGTAACCAATCATTACTCGAGCTAATTTGTTAAGTTCTGTGCAATTAAGCATTTTCGAAATCGACAATTTATGCAGTAACGTAAATCTCAAAACTTTGATTGGTTCACGCGTATACGTAGAACACCAATTGCAATTCTCACAATGTTTTTGTACACTCACCATAGAATTGTTCTTTGCTTAGCGTTTATTCATCTCAAGAGGTGAATTTAATTGCCACTCCATTAGTTATTTCTCATATTCTGAATTATAAACAAGTGTTCCGGAATGACAAAGCATGTCATATTATTGAAAATTTATAGATATTTTTGCAAATATAAATAAATATAACCACCGAAACCTAATCTGCGTAAGCTGTTTAATAATCTTAGCATGTGCCGGTATCTGTTTAAACAATACATTAAGGTAGAGATGCATGTTTGTGGGCACTTGAGAGTGAATTTTTTTTTCTTTGCTTTTTATTATCCAAACAGTCTTGGCTATGGACTGTTAACATTTTGTAGAATATTGAATAGTGGAACATACTCAAAAAACGATTTTAAAATTTAGATAACAGGTGCAAACATTCTCTCTTTTGAATGCTTAGCAAGATTTAGCAAGACTGTACATAAATAATAAAAAAGAAACGTGGTGAAAAAAAGAAATGACGGGATCTCCATATTATGCACTATATTTAACTTTAACAAAACGATAATACATTTAAATTTGGAACTGTTACAGCCATTTTAATTACGAGCATTAGCAAACTTCTTACTGAGTGAATTGTTATGCAAATTAGCAATTATCTCAGCTTCTTATTTGAGCACATCCCAGAATTTTAAAACAAAATAGCTCCTAGACGCTTTAACCTTTTGTTTTGAAATTTTCACAAATGATTGACAATGCATTTATCTTCAAAACGCCGTCGGGGCATTGCTTTTTGTTGAACATTGGGCTGCTGCCCTGCAAAATTGACAACTGGTAGACAGTTTTCAAGACGGCGCTTTCTTCATAGTAAACAGATGTACCCACAAAACAATTTTGACAGGAAACAGAAGAATGGTTTAGGAGCTAATTTTTTTTAAATCACTTTTGACCAAAAAAGCACATTTTTGTGCATATTTCAAACTACAGTGTCCATAACAAAAAAATACTAAAATAATTTTAAAATTCATACAATAAGCTTTCCGAAAATATATAGTTTTGTGGACAAGAGAGGGCATCATGGTTTCCTAATTAACTAATTAAAATACCTGTCAGGTAAACTACATCTCTACCTTAAATGAACTTGTCATACATTTCTGTACGGAATTGACTAGAGAAATGTGGTTTACATACTTTAATAAACCTTATTATTCTTCTTTGTTTCACAGAAAAATACATGTTGACTACTATCGGACTGTCGGCATTATCTTCAGTTCTTACTGGATTTTCCGTAAATTTACATTATCAGACATGCGACGCTGCACCAGTTCCAGGATGGCTACGAACTTTTGTATTTAAATATCTGGCTGTTATAGTTTTGATGCCTGGTACTGCAAATAAATATTTGAATGTGACAGACTATTCGAAACACGTCGAAGGTAAAGAAGACCACCGAAACGACAATATGATTAGTAGAATGACTCGAAACACTACTATAATGAACAAGTTCAACAGAAATCGACATCGCGCTTTTGAGTGGCAGATAGTGGCTAGAGTGTTCGACAGATTATTTCTCTTCTGCTATCTGTTTGGATATACATTTTTTACCGTGGGTCTATTTTTATATTTATATAATAGTGGTACGAGATTTGTCTATCACTAAATAAATACTATTGGTATTACTGAGTAATTAGTTCTCGTGCATGATATAGAAGAGCGTTCTGAATAAAGTTGATATTTATATATGGAATCGTATTCGCCTTTGTTTAATCACAGACAGTGTTAAGATAAGCTTCTAAAAGAGGAGTTGCTTATAGTACGCTAAAATAATGAGACTATTTTTCTATGTATAAAATTATTTCCAAAACTGTTTTTCCTTTAGTCAGTTTCACGCTATGTTGTATCGACCGTGCAATAATAATACCACCAATACCACCCAATAGATCTACTAAGAATGACCATACTTGAAGTGAATTAAACAAAGTGTATTCTCGAGTAATTTGTCTGACAACTAAACGATAATTTTCGAGTTTCATTACAGTGAACAAATTTAATTATTTTAATTTAAGTCTTAAACATATGACTCACCTGATTATCATACCAAGATATCAAAGTTTACAGCTGACATTCATGATTGTGATTGTAAGTTAATCCAATATGTACGTACATACATTCTAAGATTAAGGAAAGTCAACACACGTACCATTACTGCACTAATCAGCTTTAAAATTCATTTTCCGTCTACTATAAAAGCCTTACAAGTGAATAAACTTTTAAAATAAAATCGAAAAACAAATTTCCAAATAAATGCTTTTTTATTATCGATATTATTAGAACACTGCACGTTACTAGGATTCCAAAGCACCGGCCAACGCCTATGTGTCTCTATAGAATACAACGATTGATTCTAACAATAAACAGAATGTCTGAAATGTGGATTTTACAGAGAACACTAAAGTAAAGATATACGCGCATTACATTTGTTAACAAGTTAAAAACATCAACATTAAGCATATATTACATTTTCAACGAAAAAAAAAACAAAACGAAGTAAGATTAAAACATACAAAAATAATTTCCAAATTCTTAGTCATTTATGGATGAACAAGAACACTACTACTGGAAAATAGTACACAACGAAGCAACGACAGACAATATACACGCAGAAAACAATCCGACACAACAAAGATTATACGATAAATGTTTTGAAGAGTGAGCATACTCTATTCTTCATGTAGAATCCATTCTGTGCCATAACTGATTACACTCTATAAGTATTTTTTTTGTAATAGGATAAACCTTACATTTTGATTACAACAAAGCTCTATGCAAAGTACAAAAGTCTCTATAGTACGACATTGAGCAATTCGTTTGATCGGCTTTTTATTTCATGGATTTTTGCTGCGATTTTTCATTTGATAAGAAACTATACCAACTCATGCATTAACTATTTATATTATTCTTAAATGATATAGCAAAAAGTCCATAGGTTGGAGGTCCTACAATGTATCTCCTCTACAAATGTCCCATTCTCTCCTATTTTTTCGTTTTAGGATCTTATTTTAGGATTTTATTTAATTATTATCTCTGAATTGATTTGAAAAAAATCCCCATAGACAACCAAAAGTTACCAAATGCATGTCAAAAAATGGCTTTGATGTACAAGATTTTAATAAATATCGAATTAGCTCGGAATTTGTGCCCTACTTCCGAAAAGTAAAACTATTTTCACCTTTTCATCCAATTTGTTGATGCTTCAATTATAATCGCTTTGACTTCCCATACAATTAACCCGACTTTTCAATGAACTTAAACTTCTGTTGCTTTCCAACTTTTACAAATGTACACCTACCAATTATGTCTTTTAAAATTTCGAGCTACAGCGATTAATACGGATAAGTACATCGATGTTGAATTTACTGGTCTATAATTTTATTCATAAAGGGTTTTGTATGACATTTGATACGCTATTATCAAACGATTGATAATACCTAACTAAGCAACATTTGGGTGCCCTATATACTACTGATTTTCAAATTTGTGTAATTATATTAACTATGGAGAACGTGAAATACAAACGCAAATTAGTATGAGGAGCAGTTGTATCATGTCCACATGCAGTATATTGAAACGTTGTAGGAGCTTTGCAAGTTTGAATATCCCATTTTTTAATTGACAGCTGTGAATACCTGTCATTGTATCCACATACTATGTTTTTTTTAAAAAAATATATTCCCTACAGTTGAAATTACTTTGATGGATATATAACAAAATTATACGATTACACCGACTTTTCAAACTTAAATAAGTATATGAAGTATGAGCAATCTAACCACTTAGCCTAGAAGGGTAGTCGAATTTCAATTTTTAACTGATGTTAAATCACTGCACCGTCAACACGTGGCATAAAAGTTCATACTTTTATGGATGAACAAGAACACTACTACTGTAAAATAGTACACAATGAAGCACCGACAAAGTCGATATATAGACATTCGTTGTATTAGTAAATTTGTATTTGGTTTCTTGTTAACAAGTCGCATCAAAGAGATGTATTTTAACAGAGCTCATCACCGGCAAACTATACATTTACTCGACGCATGGACCGGTAGCTCATTGGGCGCCACATAGCCACGAATAGTTCAATTGGAGCTGCTAAACAACACAACCCTAATTATATGACTAATTCAAGCCACTGCTATAATATTTACAGTAACTGTATTTCATGCAATACATAAACTTGGAAACAAATGGTTTGAAAAAAGTATTCTGTAAGTTGTAGGATATTATGTAATTGCAAGACCATGGGTAAATTATTCTGTATACAACAGGTAAACATCACCTGGGAGGTACGGGATATTCGTTCGACTGATTGCATACTAATCGTAATTGGTACGGTAGTTTGGTTCCTGTTTACGAGAAATTTGGGTATTCGTTCGTGATTGGGAAGTTCTTTACAATTTTAAACCCCCCAAACAAATTTCTTTTCTGAGGTGGTCCTCGTAATATAAGTCCACCCCTTAATTTTCTCGATATTACATTTCCAGACCCCTGGGCGTATACACGGGAAAGTACGGTATATAACGTTGGAGTTATTTACCAACTTTAAATACACAACTTCGCATGCGCAGACACTGAAGACATTGAAATCTCAATAATGTGCACACTAATTTGCATCAAGAAATGAGGTTACTAATGTAATCCTCGCTATTTACAATACAACTTCTTAAAGAAGATCATGTCTGTATTTCAAAATGTTTAATGTTAATTCAGAGTAAAAATGAAAATGTGTAATATCCTACCATTATATATACCTAATTATTGTAGTTGCAATATAAACCAAAAAATAGCTTAATATGATCTCTTTTATTGGCAACTATCAACCCGAATACACATCCCATTGGTAAATAGATTCCATACGAAACTGCTTAAAATCTATAAAACTAATAAATGCATTGCATACATAAAATAATGTCTTTGAAAAATTTATTGTAGGTGAAATAAAACTGTAGTTTGTTCATTTTGATAACTGTATATGATACATCTCTCTCATTGATAGACTACTAAGTACTGTAAAGTCGTTTGTTGTTTGTATTTTTTGATGCACACTGAGTGTTACTATTTATAGAAACTATCCTTTCAATCACATTAGTGTAACGCTTGACGAAATAGAATGAAGTAGGATAGTGCCCCCCAATCAGTATTACAGTTCTGGACTAACAACATCGACCGACATGTTTCGTTCTCTCAAACGGCATTTGTAGTGCATTTCAACATCAAAAGAAAACACATACACTATAGATATACGATATACGATTTAATTCACATTACGACACTAAAGAAATCATCGATTTCAAGTCTAAGAACTACAGTGAACAAGCGGGGATGTAGTCAACTTCTTTTGTTGTACTGTGAAAGAAAATAAAGAAAAAAGTAAGCATTTTACTCAATTACAAATTAAAAAAAATCATAATAGAACATTCCCATAAATCGTTCCTTCAGTGAAATGTAATTTATCGTTGCACCAAAATGACTTATATTGGTGAATCAATGTCATTTAAATTGACTCCTGTATCGTTGTGTAGTCATTAGTCATTTGTCATTAGTCATTTACAATACTGTACAGACGAGTCAATTGAAAACTCTGAATACCACAACAAATTGAAAACTGAAGTTTCATATTTGTTATGTTTGTGTTATGTGCTCATGCCACAAGGATACCGAAAATAAAAAAAAGAAATTGTTAAATATACATATTTTGAGAAACAAAGTCAACAACTTTTTGTTCTCATTTAACTATGCTTGTCGATTATTGTCTCCGTTGATTTGTTAATTATAGATTGTTAAAACATTGCATTGCACTTTTTCATTATATAAAATGAAACGTTTTCTCCGGTATTGCTTTGTTTATATGCGCAGTTAACAAGATCAGTCGTGCAAAATATGCTTCTAAGAAACTCGACGAAAAGAGTAGTGTAAGGAAATGAACATACGGAACACGGACGACTGGACCCAATTCCTCGTCGGTACCAGGCATGAGAGCCGTCCCACCATTCTCTATAGCCATATTACGAACAATAGCTGCAATAACGTTGTTCGGAGCATCTGGACAGTGACCACGAACGATAGCCGTCACGCCTGAATGGTAATTTCAAACAATAGTCTATTGCAAGTGATTCATGTAAAACTATTTTTGCACCGACATCATGAGGTAAATGTAGACTGTACGTACAAATTTCTGAGGATACAATGTGAACTTACCTGCCACATGTGCAGAAGCATATGATATATCCGGTTCGCTAGTCGCATAGTAATCTACTCTCGCAGTGTCATTGAAGTCAATTGACGAACTCCAAATATCTTCCATTGGTGCCCAAAGTTCAGCGCATTCGCCATAGTTGGACAGTGGGGATTTATAATCCAGTCTATCAACGCCGCCAACAGCAATTATCTGCAGGAAACCACATTGTATATTTGATTTTACCAACCCTTCTCAGTTGGAAAACTGCTAAAGATATCATTTGTTTTTATGCGTGGGCTAATATGATTTGCTTTACCTGAATTCTACACCTTTGATTGGTGACGTGGTTCGTAGGCGAGGATAGATTGAGAAAAACACAGGAGGAAGTGTTCTATTTTTCTTACTTGCTATTTTTTTGTTCTGCGATTATTAACACAAGTAGTACGTACAGCATGTGATTTATTTTATCAGATTAGTGCAGTACAGTTGGGTAATGAATGGCGATTAGACAAATGAAAAAAAATAAATATATATTGAAATATTACCCGTCTTATTGATTAATAACATGATGTGAAAATGATTATCAAACCAGTAAATGGGCAATCTATTGATTTAAATAGGCTACGCGGTGGATATAACGATCTATATTCAACTTTTATCCTACGATATATTCCTAGCTTGCTGAATTCCGTTTAGAAAAAAACAAATCTTGATTTAAGAGTGTTTTTAACTAAACCAGATCATCTAGAACACCACAATTCTTACACGTCTTTTAACTAATTGTGAACGCAATCGGTGGATAATTACATCAACATAACTCTCAGCGCAGCAAACGCATACTTATCATTTTATGAATATTTATAATGTTGAATCCACGTCATTTTCAAAAAAGTTCCAATGCTATTCAATCGGCAAAAAAACAAACAAACAAAAAAAAAAAAACGTTTCAGTTCAGTTTGAATTGTGAAATTTATAAATATTTATAAAGATAAAGGGAATGCCTTTATTGCGCTAGGAATATAATATAACAAATTCAATTCAATTCTGGTTTGTTTATTTGAGTTGATAAATTGTATAAATAAAATGTACACAAATAAATATATAAATAAATGACTCACACCCTCAGTTTCATACATTCTACCTGGGGTGAAGTTAGTACAGTTTGTTTGATTTCCCATTCCTACATTGACAACTACTACAAGGTCGTTTGCTACCATTTCATCAACTAGGTTCTCCACCACATCCAGTAATGCTGGATCGAGTGTAGCTACGTCGAACCACATACCTCCCAGTGCCACACCACGAAGATAATTTGTGGGATTCAAGGTTTTTCTGTTGATATAGTCATCGACAATTGCTTGCATTCCTAAAAGAAGAGGAAACATGTAAATTATAAATGCTAAAAAAACATTCTTTCTCCCTGCCGTTTAAATGTACAATGCCTCAATTTTACAGCAGACAAGTTTCACAACTAAACTCTTGTTAGAAAAACTAGAGATGAAACATCGGGAAATACGCGTGTTCGATACGCAATGATCAAATGTGAGAATGGATGTAACATCGAAAGAAACATTCATGGTTTGTCTAGTGTATGAATTCCAATGTATAGGCATATCCGTTTATTTATGCTGTACTTGTATCTTAAAGAAGCCTTATGGCACAAGAGTATTTGAGTATTTACTTGAAAATGTCTAATATTTTGCTCTCCAAATTTTATTTTATTTACGTTGCTAATGTTTCGGCAAACATAGGGTGATTGTATCTCGGGGGTTGTTTATTAATTTTCGTACCTTCAATTAGATATGTGCCATTTAAGTTTTGATAGCTTGGATCGGCAGTAACTCGAACAGTAGACAATTCGACACCAGCGGCAGCTCCTGTATATGAACCACCAACTACGCCAGATAACATAGTACCACGGCCATCAGTATCCTGACCTTGAGGCTGCAACAAAACAGTCAATGCTGAATTCATAAGTCACATTTATAGCGGGGGAGTCATCACCTGCGCATGCGTCAGATGGCCATAGCGTGTCATTGTTTACAAACAAGCGTCTACCCACGAGCCTTTGCGTTTTTAGCGTGTGTTGTTATCGTCGCTTGGGACTCAATTCCAGCACATGCGCAGGTGACGACCCTACCTCTTTAGGTGCAATTATTCACACCTGGACCCGAGATGCAAAGAGCCGTTGGTGAACTTGTTTCTATGTTTCAAAGTGCTCCAATCACCATAATTACATAGCGGGAAACATTAAAGGAAGAAAATATTGTAATTCGATGTGTAACACAATTCGTGTCAGTAACGTAAGGCTATTATTATTTTTATTACTATTATTATTATTATCACTAAGAAAAAAATACAATTATGTCTTGATTGCCGTACAGATAAGTTGTGAAATCTTGTGGATGTCCCCCATAATTTCCAAACGTGCGACAAAATTATATCGTAGTAACGACAGAGCCAATTAGCGGGTATGGGTTTCGTAACATGCTTTGGGTTGGCATTTCGGGGTGTAATTTGGTTTGTCATTTAATTTGTTGATTTCTCTGAGACTCGTTGTTGAAATATTAATATTTTCGATCAAAAATGTCACTCAACACGAAATGGCAGGAATACAGTCTTTTAAATTAGTACAATGTAATATGGGATATCAATGTTCTCTTCTCTTAATTAATAAAGAATTTATAACTAATGGTCGGCCGTCTAAATATGGCAAATGTTCTTTTGTTTGAAGAAAACACCCAGCTGGAATTATACCACAATAAGTCACTTTATACGAGGGCAGATGCATATTCTTAATAATCGTTTGAATTCCACAATTTAGAAATTCCCAAATTTGTTCCTGCGTACACATTTTCTTTATATTATAACTTATTGAATTCTAGTCATGAAAACAGAATTACAACTGGCAAAATACTTGCAAAATTTGTTAATTTCAAGAAAAAATAAAGCTATAAAATCTTGAAAATGGTCGTTTGATTTTGCGTTCTAATATACAGAACACACGTTACGGAGTTCGATGCGACGAGTATTGTGCAAGCCTGGTAATAATCTAATAATAACATTATTGTTTCACATCTTCTTAATCCAACTGCTTGGTATAGTATGCTCTAAAATGGGCATATTGAGAAAATGTATTGCTATTTTCACTATCTTGGAAATATACATGAAGATAAAATACGCTGACATATGTATAATATTATTATGTATATGTCAGTCTTTTAGACTTTGACATACCACATTGTCTGGGTCGAAATCATAGGTTACTGACTGGCGTATAAGTCCTGGCCCAAAGTTGTTATGAACATTATGTATTCCAGTTCCAACAATGTAAACTACAGTACCTGCACCAGTATCTACAAGAAAATAAAACAGAAACCAAAATAAGATTACGCCTGATTGTGTACTAACAAAAAAAAAGCAAACAAAAAACATGACTATATGATAAATATTACTCTTGTTAATTGATTTATACACATGTATTTGTACGATGCACTTATGCTCTTGTTTTTATTCACATTCCACATATCTGTACTAAATCACTTGGTATAATCCTAGCTGTAAATACAAATACACATATACATACAGTGTCGACGCCCAATTGACGTCATGGTCATGAGTTCGAACACCTTGTTGCTTGTTTATCAATTCGTAATGTTATATTTATTACTCCAAACAATTCCCAGAGAATCAACGACTACATTGTATCCATTTTACAGATCGCACCATTGTAATCACAGGGTTGTCAGGTGTTGTTACTTAAATTCTTTACAAAACACAATACACATTCAATCATAAAAATTAGAATGTAATAACGAACATAATTCAAGAATCAACCATTCTTATTACTAGTCTACCTTTATTTGAATAGAACACCCTATTCACGAATGGTTTGGCATATAACGCTACATGCGTAGCATGTATTCCATCATGTACAGTGTTACTATCGAATTGTACCACGTATTGTAAATATAAATGTATCTTAGACATCACTCTAAGGCAAATCATGTTTCCATGCGACCATTAGTTTGTAGCAATCATAGGCGTTTTTCACTTATTTCACAAACGTATAATAAATATAGCATAGAGTACATTCACAACAATTAACCTTGTGAGATGTTTTTCTCGTTGCTGCAAAATCATTGTCAGTGGCAATGCAGGAAATAGCATTTCAGAGGGTCTACTTTTCAAAATATTTCCGGGGAGCATGCCTCAGACCCCAGACATCTGGTAAAGTTGCGTCTCCGGCTCGAGGGATGATGAGCAGATCTTACCCTCCCCATGCACAATTTCGTTCCGCCCCCTCTGATTGTACAATTAAACACCAAAGGAATACACGCGTCCAAGGACACTGCTAATGCAGAAGACTTTGCTTAGTCCTGTGCCCGACAGGGGTATCTAGACTCAATTTTAAGGCCTTTTTACGCTCATGTGTGCTAGGTTTATGTTATTTTTTACGCGATCAGTCATAGCGAACTAGTGTTTAATAAATGCGTGCGCGTATGTACGCAAGTTACGAACGTAAATACGCGTGCTTGTTCACAGGCAGCGGCGTTTGCTATTCGGATTCCTACATACAGTGTACTCCTAATACTGATATAGTTTACTCACCGAATGGGTCATAATCTGCCAGATCTTTATTCCAGTTTGGCCACACAGGTTTAGTTTCATCCAGTCGATCAATATTCCATGTAACCTCGCCTTCGATGTATTGATAGGCGGCGGCAATGGAAGCCAACGATAATAATAATACAACACGCATTGCTGTGAAAATTAATAAATAATAATAATAATAATTACGCAGTGTTTCGAATAAATGAAGCACTGAATAAAACCAGTCGTTAGTTATATACATAACGAAAAATGTAAAAGAATGCATACCAAGCAGGGTTTACACAGTATTGTGCGGTCCACTGTAATTACTAAAATAATTATCCTCAAGCCTCGTGCTATTGATATAGTCAGTGGAGACTGTCATGGACAGATGTTTTCACAAAGATATTGCTTATGTAATTTATGTGATACAAAACAGCTGCACGATCGGAAGATACGATGCAGATACCCATATGGTTTGTAAATGTGGATAGTACTTGTAGTGAAAAATACGGAATAAATATATATCATATACTCATATATTTATATATATGTATATATGGAAAAAAATAGATTGACGTCAAGAAATAATTAACACTCGCCATTATAATACTCAATTTATTGTTTCGTGTAGAATGTAATACACAATGACCTTCACCTTGTGAGACGTTACACTAAAGGCCGGTTTACACAAGGTAATATTTGAAGCAGCGCACCGAGTACCACATGAGGCAATGCTTCGCCTATAAAGAATACACAAGACATCTAACGATGACGAAGGGCTACAAGGTGCCCAAAATTGCGGCTTGTTGGTCTTAAGGCGACGTTTCCTGGCCAGTCTTTGTGTGTTGTCTCATAATTGTATACGTGTGAACCGACCTTTAACCAGTTACACCCAGTGTTGTTCACGCGAGTTGAAGATAAGTACTTAACGCATAATTACTCACCACTAAACACATGCGAGATAGAAGGGATGAGGCACACCCGTGTCTATTAAGTGTGTTATCTAATCAATAACTATTTTTGGAATAGTAGTTTTAATGTTGTGCGTGACTGAAATTGGTGTATCCGATGGCAAGTTAATCCAATACTGCAGAATAATAAAACGAAATGAATAATATTGTCGATATTGTTGGTTTTGCGGTCCCCTAAAAAAATATGCTGTATTTTCGTTCATCGAAATTTGTCAACAATTGTGTTCTGTTTCGAACATTGTGTGCAGTTGATCATACAAATCAGTTCCCATCATGCATTTGTGGAGAGGCATTTCCTGTTTGCTGAAATTTTATGTATTTCAACTATATCCATACCAATTAGAAAACGTGTTAGGGAATTGTGTCAGTACAGTACTTCAACCCCGCACAACAACCCCGTTGAAGCAACAATGATGACGTTTGCAATAAAATTAAACTATAGACAAAATAATTGTTATACTTTTTGATAGCTTCAATTGCACCTAGTAATCGCTGATATGACGGACAAAGCCACTAATGTCAGCCAATCACGACGATGCGAGAGTAACGGTTAGTATTCTGTACGCTGCGATCTATTTGAAAGTAAGCCTCCAAGACCCGTTATTTTTTGATTGATATAATAAACGTCAGGTCTAACGTCAATTTACAAGATCCGGAAGTATTGTCGGTCACGTGACGATCAATGCCAGCTGCCAGCCATTCACGACAATGCGCACATATTGTTAGTCAAGAACGATGAATGGCAGTACTGTTAGCCATACACAATGACGTCACGGTCAGTGCCAGTATTTGTTTGCCACCCACAATGACGTCGCGGTAATTGCCAGTATTGTTAGCCATCCACAATGACGTCACGGTATGTGCCAGTACTGTTAGTCATTCACAATGGCGTCACGGTCAGTGCCAGTATTGCTAGCCAGTTACAACGACGTCAGGTCAATGCCAGTACTGTTAGCCATCCACAATGACGTCACGGTAAGTGCCAGTACTGTTAGCCATCCACAATGACGTCACGGTCAGTGCCAGTATTGTTTGCCATCCACAATGACGTCACGATCAATGCTTGTACTGTTAGTCATCCACAATGACGTCACAGTCACTACCAGTACTGTTAGCCATTCACAATGACGTCGCGGTAAGTGCCAGTACTGTTAGCCATCCACAATGGCGTCATGGTCAGTGCTAGTATTGTTAACAAGTAACGACGATTGACAGTGCCGTTATCTTCGTTCAGGTGCGATGAACTTGCTAGAAACTTGTACGTGTTAAGTTTATGGTATTTTTCAACTACTTAAATAGTAAATAAACAAAATCCTAAATATAATTACGCCTGTATTTAATTCTTACTTGTAATAGTTCCACAACCTGAAATCATTTAAATGAATAAGTCTGTCGGCAATATACATCAATGATCAATTTTATAAAATAGATAATGCAAGCGATGTCGCGAATGACGTACGGTCCTGCTACGGGGTACATATTTTCCCATGAGATTGTGTCCAGATAGTATTGTGAGCCAGAAATTTCGCCCGCGGTAACTGACTAAAATACGTTTAGTGCGGCTTCTACAAAAGTTATCATAAATTGTGTTGTCATTTGAAGCAGTAAAGGTAAGAAGATTCCACGCTGTTGTGTTGTTACCGATACATTGGAAAGTTCGTAACATAAACATTGTCGTATTGGAAAACCTCGAATAAAACATAGTATGAAAATGAGTGGTACAGAAGGAATATACGTCTGATTTGCTGCCCCAATTTCAACGCTGAGGTCGTCCTGGCCATAGTGAATCGGCAATATATACTATATATACAAATCCTATTTCTAAAGACAGACCGACATAGTATTAGTACAATTTAGCTAGATGGTTTGGCTAGTATCCAGTTTGTTCAAGTTGTTTGCATTCCGGCATTTCCCCACACATCATCCTGTTAGGGGTGGATATTTGTAGAGCCACTATTTCCATTTTCACATTGTAACTATTGATCACAGGGGTACCCCTGTTTTATCAGGTGTGCAAGTAAACTTATACATATTCAGTGCTTTGCAGCATATATGACTATATATGAGTACTTCTAAATAGCGTTACAAGTGGAGCATTTCCAATGTTTTTCTGTATAAAAGTCAGAAATGACTGAGATAAAAATGGAATGACTATTTTGTAGATCTAGTATCTGAATTGAATGTAGATTACCGTGGCTTTTGAAGATAAATGTGATTACCTACCCACAACACATGAGTTGGCACGCATTTTCCAACCAAGGTCAGCTGTCATTTAAATATGTATTGTCACATGTGATCATGGCAATCATAATAACAACTGAGATGTATATTGTTTATGCACATGTCTACAAACACGCTGCTGTTTGATTGGTCTGACTACTCAGTGTTTAGGCTGGATAAAATCTTCAGGTCAAAAGTATGACAAGAAAAAGTATTGCCAGCCAATTAGCTCCCAATTAGAAAAAAATAATTGTAGTATAGTGAATGAGGCTGGCAGTATGTATGCATCTTGATTGACCCATTTGAAACCCTCACCCGTTTATTACCTGCCCACATCATGTTGTGCATGATGTACCCGGCGAGACACACAGTTAACCTTGTATTCGCCAACCCACTTTTGAAAATTTAAAAACGTTGAGTCACCCTGTAAATTGAACGACGGTTAAGAAATCACATCGTGTATGTCACACTGACGTCTAAAATGTCTAACATCAACGTTACTGGGTGTAAGCATTCTTTAGTCAATGTTTTGTTATAATACCCAAAACCTTGCTAATAGAAATGTGCATAGAATCATTGGAAGAAACAGTAGAATTGCCATGTGATAACTGTCATAAATTCAGGGCTCATACCACTAATTGAAACTCCATAGACGACAATGTTAACATATGACGAGATTGCTATATGAAAATGATAAACAAAGTTGAAAACATAGCTCAAAAATGGGAAATCAACATGACAGTAATCAACCAAATAAAAAAAAAACATGTTGGCCAGCTCAAACTCTTGCAAATCTCAGGTAAACAAGAAACACCTACTTTTTTGGATTGCAACCAGAGAAATCACTGGGAAAACACCAAGATTAGAACATCCAAATACATACAGAATAAACCCACAAGTACACAACCGCCAATTAGTAAACAAAAGAGCACACGTTAGTCTCACCTTTGACCCAGGTGATCACGCCCTCAACCAGGGAGCACCCGAGAAAAAAATATTGATAAAAATGTCATTGGTTCTTGCAAGGCATTTAAATTACGAGCAGCGATTGTTTGATTGGTGGTGAGACGTTAAGAGATATAAGAAGGTTTAATAAAGTTCTTGTTGATCTTGTATATGATGGAATATCATTAGACGAGAAATTTCCCATGCAAATTTAAATCCTGGGAGTTATTTATCAAAATCTACCACTTGGAGGCGCCCTCTACCCAGACAATTAGTTGTAGAAATTGGCAACATACACACTCAGCATAACATCAAATTAGTGGCGAAGCTGAGGGATGATATCACGACCTACCTACGAATAAATTACACAAACAGATTAAACGTTTGTTGAACATTTATTGTTTTCAATCAAATATTATGTTGGCACATTATACTGCTATAATTGATCAGAATATGTTCGGTAATAGTAAACACGCAATTGTTGTAAACAATTCTAGCTCCAGCGTCTTGGGTGTTTAGCTCATGGATTCCAAAATCCACAAGGGATGACGTGTCGGAAAATTCATTAAGGTCGACGTTTAATTGCTTGGAGGTTGTAACAGCTGCGGTACCATTCAAAATATCGCTTACTTTCTTCTCCTGGTTCTGTGTTGTGCGTTTATAATTGCGAACACCTGTATCTTGTCAAGATAATTTAAATTTAATTAAGTTTTTCATGTGACCATGCATTCATTTAAAATTCTTTGAAAAATAAACCAGTAAAAACGTGCCTTGCTACTTTCCTTAGTTAAGTTAGTTTACAGTGATAACAATATATTAATAATGTTCAAGTTGGTAACCTTCTACTGAGCGGTGTCCTGCCCGTTCCATTATGAGTTGCTCATCAACACCATGCTCATAAAGACTGGTCGCAGCTGTAGCACGTAGACTATGGTTCGTAAAGTTTCCAACGATTCCGGCAGATCGTAATAAATCTGGCACCACGAGTTGGATAGAGTTGTAACCCATTTGCTGCTTAGTAAACCATATCTTGTCGGATTCTTCGTATTTACGCCGGGGTTGCAGGTAGTTTGTTTCCCTCAGGTGGGCAGAGTGACGTGTACTTCTTGTACATTCTAATATGGCATTTGCATAATGCATTACCTCCTTCCGTCTTACTCTGCGATGCTTTAGACCACCTTGTTTGCTTTTCGACACGTCTTCAACATACTTCAAATGAGGCGTTTCGCCTGGTGACTCGTGTAAAGTGATTTGAGGTAGGTGACAACGTAGGGCTCGATGTCCCATTCTGCTTTTGAGGCCAAATTGTTTGCTATTCAGAAATACCATAGTGCGAACAAGAACCCGGGGAGAATAGTCTTCTAGAAGCTTTTCCATAGTAACGCAGGTTGATCTTTGGTAATTACCACAGCTTGTTTTATTTTTGATCCCAACCCCAAACTGGACAATCTTTTCATTTCTGAATCGAGCACTTCACGAAAACCTTGGAATTCTTTATTTGCAGCTCAGAACAACAGTAGCTTTGCAAACCTATGATCAAAGATAACAATGTTCTTGGCGGATAACAATTTCCATCCACTTTGCGCACCTCCAGAACGAATTTAGTTAACCAATAAGCCAAGTCCATGACGGGCATTACATCGATACAGTCATAAATTTTCACCTTTTCATCAGTCGTTAATTCCAGTCGGTTGTTATTTTGTACCATCGCCCATTCATTAAAAGTACGCAGAGCCCACATGTTACGTCGCCTTGTGTTTATTTGGTATTTAATCCTTAGCGACGCCCGTACAGCAGAATCCGACACTGGGTCGCAAAACCGCCCACTCTGGATTTCCTGCAATACTTTAAAACAAGTTGCATGTAAAGTCAAGTTTGCTTTTTTTCAATACAAGAATATGATAAACCAGTAAATTGTAGTCACTGAAGTGTGAAAATACGTGTGGAACAGTACCTGGTTCAATATCGACATTATCAAACCTGAGCTGATTCAAATATTCAGCTGCCTCTATTAGGTCATCGTCGGAAAGTAGGATATGCTTCCATCTCTCCACGATGCGCGTAAATGCAAACTAGAGAAATTTTGGAATTTTACGCACATTCAGCCGATATTACTTAGCCAATCAAACAACTTCAATATTGTGAATACCAAATGTCCGTGGCTTGATTGGTTGTATAAAACTAAAATGCATCCAGGTGCGGATGACTAATTCCACAAAATCTGCGTATCAATAGGGGACTATACCATATACTATATAGTCCGGCAGAACTTGTGTTTAGGTTCGCAACAGAGTCCATAGTTTTTCTTAATGTGGTTTTAGATTGACCACTACCTATATAGCATATTTCAACTTGCTGGCCCTGTGTCAGCATTGGGCAAATTCTCCCTAGCAACAAAATGCAAAATGGCTGCCTAGCAACTGAGTAATACCAAGAAAATTCCAACTTGGGAGCAGCAACCATGCAGTTTATTGCACGAATCCCCACAAATGTGTATATGAGACACACACGTCATTTTTTGTAACCCAAACTACACACCTTCTTAGCAACGGGATTCAAAATGGTTGCCTAGCAACTAGGTCAATTCATGCAGACTTGTTCTTTATTGGTTTGTTTACCACATCATGAACAAACTAGATACTACTATACTATACTATTTTCCCGGCGGAATACACGGGAGGGAAGTGCTTTTGTGGATCCGTTGGAAATTTTCAAAACTCGCATCACCAGCAGAATTAAATCTGAGTACCAGTACTTCAAACTTGTGAAACAGGAGGAC